TCAAAATTAGGGACGGCTGGCGATGATAGCCCTTGAGTAACATTGAGGTAATACCTCGAACAAACTAACATGTTACCAACTAGTCTATCAGTTCAAAATTAGGGACGGCTGGCGATGATAGCCCTTGAGTAACATTGAGGTAATATCTCGAACAAACTAACATGTTATTCCATATACCAAAGATTCGTTCCAATAGCACCGTCATTTGGGCTTTTCTAAACACAGAAATATAACTTAAGTTTTTTTTCTTTTACATCTGTTGTTCAAGAGTTGAAAAGCTTGCTTTTGATAAAAGAGAACTTGAAATTGTTAAACATTAGTGAAATTTTAAAAACAATGTATGCTTTAACACCAGAGACGTAACGAGGAAGGTGCACCCCCAATATTCCCTTTTTCAGCACAAAGTTAATTTTCCATGAAATATGTTGGCAAATATATATATATTCGTGTTTTTTTTTGTTTTTTTGGGGGGGGGGTAATCTCGGGAGAAAAATAAGTACTTTCTTGTTACGACGAATTTTTAGACAAACGACGAAAATACAGAGAAAATTTTGGCAAAAGGTGATAATATTTATAAGGGTACCCGGATTGTGATATTGAGGGTTCGTGGCTCGCGTCCCGTTGCTTAGAAGAACCGCACTCAGCAGTTTTTGGCTGTGGGTGCTCTATAAGTGTGACCGTAAATCCTGTTATTCGGTCCTACAAGAGTGGCACAACAGTTGGCGGTGGGTGCTGTTGGCTAGCTGCTTTCCTTCGTCTCTTATCATTCCAAAATCGGGGAGGGTTATGCGCAGTTAGCCTTTTGTGTAAGTTTTTTCAAACGTTTGAAAATAACTTGTGGAAAACTTTCAAAAATTTTTTTAGTGATTCCCATAAGGCGTAGTACAAACGGTTAATAAGATCTCAGTAATTTACAAATAAATGTTCTTTACGGAGACGAACAGTAAGTGTATATTGTGCATACGTTAATACGGGTTAAAAGCAATGATCTTTTATCATTTCGTCGTGATTAAACAAATGATATAAGCCATAAAAGGTGCTGAAAATGTAAATATTTTCCACCACAGGCTGCGCATTTCTTTATTGTAAAATGTTATACAAAATACGCGAGTTTTGCTTATTTTTAAAATTCTCGCACGTTTCCGATCCACTTCTCTTCGTTTCTCGATAAACAGACACAATGTGGCATGCATGTGAGAAACAGAATTTAACTATGGAATAATGAGAACTTCGTAACCAATTAAAATGGGTTGTTCTAAGTAAATGTGAGTTAATTCATTAACAACATTCAATTCCAAGACTAGCAAATATAAAATATTTATTGAGAAGTTGTTGGCATCCATAAACGCTCCTCGTTAAATCTGAATTTAAATATCTCGTTTCTTCTTTAGATAGACCCCCCACCACCGTTTTATCGTAAAGTGGAATTCTCTCCCTGACTGTGTACGGTTTTATTAAATAGTAGTAATGTCTAAATGCATAGTAATTAATTTTTTTACTGAATTAATTATTCCTTAACGCTCTCAGTGTGATCTTGATCGTTTGCAAAATTTCGTTATATGTAATAAAACAGTATATGTATAACTCTACACCCTGTTTATTTTACTGGTATTGTAACACACTATGATAGGTGGTGCTCCTTACCTTCTGTTTATCACTGGTATTGTAACACACTATGATAGGTAGTGCACCGTACCTTCTGTTTATTTCTGGTTTTGTAACACACTATGATAGGTAGTGCAGCTTACCTTTTGTTTATTACTAGTACTGTAACACACTATGATAGGTGGTGCACCTTACCTTCTGTTTATTTTACTGGTATTGTAACACACTATGATAGGTGGTGCACCTTACCTTCTGTTTATCACTGGTTTTGTAACACGCTATGATAGGTGGTGCACTTACCTTCTGTTTATTACTGGTTTGGTAACATGCTATGATAGGTAGTGCAGCTTACCTTCTGTTTATTACTGGTTTTGTAACATGCTATGATAGGTAGTGCAGCTTACCTTCTGTTTACTACTGGTTTTGTAACACTATGACAGGCGGTGCAGCTTACCTTGTGTTTATTACTGGTTTTGTAACATGCTATGATAGGTAGTGCAGCTTACCTTCTGTTTACTACTGGTTTTGTAACACTATGACAGGCGGTGCAGCTTACCTTGTGTTTATTACTGGTTTTGTAACACACTATGATAGGTAGTGCAGCTTGCCTTCTGTTTATTACTGGTTTTGTAACACACTATGACAGGTAGTGCAGCTTACCTCCTGTTTATTACTGGTTTTGTAACATGCTATGATAGGCAGTGCAGCTTACCTTGTGTTTATTACTGGTTTTGTAACACACTATGATAGGTAGTGCAACTTACCTCCTGTTTATTACTGGTTTGGTAACACACTATGATAGGTAGTGCAGCTTACCTTTTGTTTATTACTAGTATTGTAACACACTATGATAGGTAGTGCACCTTACCTTCTGTTTATTACTGGTTTGGTAACACACTATGATAGGCAGTGCAGCTTACCTTGTGTTTATTACTGGTTTGGTAACACACTATGATAGGTAGTGCAGCTTACCTTGTGTTTATTACTGGTTTGGTAACACACTATGATAGGTAGTGCAGCTTACCTTGTGTTTATTACTGGTTTTGTAACATGCTATGATAGGTAGTGCAGCTTACCTTGTGTTTATTACTGGTTTTGTAACACACTATGATAGGTAGTGCTCCTTACCTTCTGTTTATTACTGATTTTGTAACACACCATGATAGGCAGTGCAGCTTACCTTCTGTTTATTAATGATTTATTAATGACAGGTAGTGCACCGTACTTTATGTTTTTGTCGTTGAAACATACATAGTGCATGGTAGATTGAAATATATATATATAATAATAAAGTATATTATTTTGTACGACAAATAATTGAATATATAACACACACATATTTATTTATTTATCCAACCATGTTTAAGAAATCATCGTACTGACGTGACTTACGTAATTGCCAGTATTTCCAGCAATTATTAATTGCTGTGTGGCTGTTCATTGGGGAAGGATTGACTCGTTATCTTGTTTAATCAGCCTCTAGAATTATGTTTAATCTTGTTAAACTCAACATTAGAGAATTTTTTGTTTGTTTTTCGTCAGCTAATAAGATAATACGGGGTTCGTTAGTTGACATCAACTTATTTTATGCTGCGAAAGAGCCCCCCCCTCTCCATTGGTTCAGCGGCAAATATGAGGGCGTATAACGCTAAAATTCGGGTTTAGATACTTTCGGTGGGCACATTACAGATAGCCATTTGTGGAGCCTTGCGCTTAACAACAAAAAGAATGTTGGGAAAAATTAAAAGGTTGATTACATGCCGGTTTTAACGGCGTGTGTCAACCCGTGTGTGTGTGCATCTAATGTATATATAACGTGTTATTTGTATACTATAAACAAAATGTTTTCTCATATTGGATAGAAATGACATTTTTCTGTTTATCAGCCACTACTCGAGATGTAAGTACGGTTTTTAAACGACCAACCTTTCCTGTACCGTATAATGCACCTTTACAGATCAATAAATATTGTTGAACTCTACCAAGTCGTACAGGAATTACCGTCGACTAAAATCCGAAGCTGATTGGTCACTTTCGGATGATTGTGTAGAATATTAGTTGTGGGATTCTTATGGTAAAAAAAAAACGAACATTATAGGGTGATTTAAAAAGCTGGTAGGTTTATTGCACGAGCCCGAGAGTGGGAACTGTCGCCGGAACGGTTCAGTGATCCTGCCTACTGTGAGTCAGCGTGCAGGTAAAGATTACGAGGCGATGGAATGTAGAAAAGTTTCGGAGTTTTGCGGACGTACAGTGCCGCTGGGATGGGCTACTGACGCGTGAAGTGTGTGTTAGAGAAAAGAAATAAAGAACAGGAAAACATTTCTTTTCTGGAGAGACAACAGACTTTCTCGAAATATCCAGCGCAGCTTGGTGTGGTAGGTCCCCGCTATGAGAGTGGTTAGTAGAAAAATTTTGAGACTTGCATGTGGCGGGCTTAGAAAAAGAACTGTAGTTATCCAACCACAACAAGTTTCGGTACCCCGCAGCATCCCTGCCCCTCTTGAGGGGTCGGGTTTTCTTTCCTTAGAATCTTGCGGACAGGTTGAGTCCACTGATTATGGTTAGCCGAATCGTTCTTCCCGCGGTGGGGTCTGAAAAGTGGATCCATGCGCACGAGCGAGCCTCTCCTCTTTCAGGAACGTTAGCCCCCCGGGCACTACCATCCCGTGATCCTGCCCGTCTTTGTGCCTAGTTTATTCCGTTTTTCTCTTTTTCCCCTTCAAACTGCTTGTTTTCCTTCTACTCGTAACGGCTAACTTGAAAAGCTACTCCCTAATTTACAAAGCAACTTTTTCGATGAGCTTTATTTTGCTACAGCCATAGGACGTAGATAGAGCTCAAGACAGCTCTGTATGCGTGGAATATTTTGTATTCTGAACAACGCTAAAAAAAAGAATTTAAAGTGAAGAATTACCGTTTCAACCTTAGTTTCACAAACCAGTGAAAGGATTTTGAATAGCACTAGAGGAAAGATTTAGTAAGAGCTCACGAACGTGCTGGAGGGTTGTTTTCCTCAGAATTCTTGTACAGTGCCTCGTTCAGTATCCCTAGTTATTGGCTTTCTTTTCTCTAGTTTATACGTATTCATCTACATGGGGCTCAAGTGGGGAGAAGAGCATTGCATATAGTAGTTATATTGTAGAGATAGAGACGGATCGTTAAGCGCGAAGGAAGGATGAACGCTGCACTTGTGATGCGCCAGAGCAAGCCCAGCTATTGACTAGGTATGTATGCTTTAAAATGTAATTTTTGGATTATAAGAAAATATGACTGTAAATAGTGTTATCGATTTTTTAAACGTGCACTCCAGTAAACGAAACGAGTGTACAAGTATGAACGTCAGATGATTCTCTATAAATCACCAGTGTAAATATGCATCGAAATTACACGATCGTATAATTGATACTTGGGGGGGGTTATCAATTGGCAAATTTTACATCACAAAGACGTTCGTGTTTTCCTATGGCTGAAGCTTTTCATTCTATTACGTAATACTAATTTTTCGAAATCACGTGCAAATCGTTGTAGGACTAACTGTGAACGGTTTTCGCGTGATATGTTATACAAGTAGGACGAATTATTGATCTGTGTTTAACAGTTCACGAAGTTTGTCGTGCAACGAACCAGTGATAACGGACTATTTCCTGACTGGCTATCAAACAAGCCAACCTCTTGATTCAAACAATTTAATATAATCAACTCATTTTATATGTGACCTTATTCGATTACGTCACAGACATTGCATAACAAATAACACGAAGGCTTTCGGAATTTATATGTTTGGTCTGTCAGTGTGTAACTTGTAAGCTGTCTAAATGATAACACAACGAATAGAGAAACAGACCAAACCATTTTAAAGTAAAGCCAATTTTCTTGTCCAGTGCAAACTTATGCAAGGAAATAAAATGACAATTATTATATATTTAATGTATATAAGTTACAAATAACAAGCCAGTTTGAGAGTAACAGCTCTTTTGACTTTTCTACAGTGAAGTTCTTATAAAATTTAGATTACTTCGTTTCTGTATATTGGTAATCTGCATACTAACAACGCCGAAAACCGGGTTTCGATACCCATGGTGGGCACATTACAGATAACCCATTGTGTAGCTTTGCTCTTAACAATAACCAAACCATAACATAATAATATTTGCCCCTAGAACGAACGTGCTCCCCCTCCCGGTGGCTCAGCGTTAAGTCTGAGGGCTTATAACGTTAAAACTCAGGTTTCGATACACATGGTGGGGGCAGGGCCTAGATAGCCTAACAACTAATAAATCTTAGAAGTTAATAACTTCTGTTTATATCTTGTTCGAAACAATAGTTACAAAATTTCCATAACTTAACAATCTTTTCTCACTCGTAGCAACAGTTACTAACCTCTCACAGCTTAATAATATCTGTTCATAGCAATATTTACAGGCCTGGCATGGCCAGGTGGTTAGGGCGCTCGACTCGCAATCTGAGGGTCGCGGGTTCGAACGTGGGGCGTTATAATGTGGTATTCGTTGGTAAAATAGTAGCCCAAGAGTTGGCGGTGGGTGGTGATGACTAGCTGCCTTCCCTCTAGTCTTTCACTGCTAAATTAGGGACGGCTAGCGCGGATAGCCCTCGTGTCGCTTTGCGCGTAATCAAAAAACAAACAATATTTACAAACATTTCACAAATTGCTTTTTGTAAAAAGCAACAAATTACTAACCTCTCATAACGTAATCTTTCTTCATAGCAACAGTTACTAACCTCTCATAACGTAATCTTTCTTCATAGCAACAATTACTAACCTCTTATAACGTAATCTTTCTTCATAGCAACAATTACTAACCTCTTATAACGTAATCTTTCTTCATAGTAACAGTTACTAACCTACCATATCCTAACAATCTTTGTCCTTAGAAATAGTAACCTCTCATAACTTAACAATTTTTGTTCACAGTAAAAGTTACCAGCGTCTCACAACTTAACCTTTGTTCATAGTTTGAGTGCTAGTAAAAGATGAATTCATATGACGCCGCAAAACAAAGGATTCCAGTGTAAAAATCACAAATGCCTTTTAAACCGTGTTGCAAAAAATCTCCACATTACAACAAAATAACAACAACAAAAACTTCCGTACAGCGAACAAGAAGGGGGTTATGAAAGAAAGTTGAACTTAACGCGGTATTCGATTTATTTTTTCATCTACACATATATATGCAAAGTTATAAAAGGCGGTAAAAGTTTTTACTTGAATATTACGACAGGTGCTGGAAGAGAGGGTAGAAGAGTTTGGGGGGGGGGGGGTTGTCGGTACTATAGGTGTGAAGTGGGCAGCGGCAGTGTATGGGCCAAAGGGCGTTTACTGCTACGTGAGGAGGTCTGCAGCGTTGCTCGGTTTTGACTACTCTGTAATTATACTGGTTTGCCGACTAGTATCAAGATTGCTTTGTTGGCGGCTGTCCGGAGGCCTAGACATGACACCACGTGGGGACCCCGCCGCAGCTGTGTAAGGATTTAGTGGGTGAGGGAGTGAGTTGCCAGTGGTGAAACAAGGAATTACTTCTACATTCCGATTCGTGGCTGGTTATATGATGGACAAAAATTACCAGTCGTGCTATTTACAAGTTATCATAATGTTTTTGTTTCTTCTTTCTGTGGTGTAGTTTTACACACACTTTTCACATTCAAGAGTTATTTTAGTTGAGTTAAAAAAAACGTCTCTGTCCGTTTGAATGTGAGATATATATTTTGACATTTTGGAACTTAACTGTTACCATGGTAATACATCTTGCGTATTTTTTCCATCTGTGAACACGGTCATCTTATGAACATGAAAATCTAATGTCACCTTTTATTTACAACAGTAACTGCTAGACCTGTATTGGTTTGAGTTTCTTGAGATTAATGCACGTTTGGATTTATAAATTATTATGTAAACTTGACATTTGCTGTAGTATAATATTCATTATTTCTGGCCATGGCCATTAAAAATGTTAAAATTAAATAAAAAAAAAACAAACAACAAAAAACTTCATGTATCACCATATAGCTAAATTACAAGGATGTCAATTGGAAATGAGTAGACAATATGTCATTAGGTTATTTCACTAAGTACAATATAAATAACTGTCATACCCTTGGGAGATATTGCTTTTAAAAAGTTATTCTCGCAAACTTGTTTTAAAATGTTTTAACTGTAATAAAGCAAGTAGTGTGATGTTCTCATTTTGTGATATTCGTTCTGTAGATTATAAAATAAACATTTTGAACAACTCAGTTTGTAGATTTCTTTCTTTTTTTGCTTATATGAAGAGTGTGTTTTATTTGAAAGTACCAAGTTTTGTTAAGAACAGATGATGTACTTAAGAAAATCGATTGATTTTTTTTTCTTTTTAAAATAATTTTCTAGTCTTGGAATGGAGTTAAAATGATGAAGATTAGCAGGAACACTGAGAGACATGGTGGATGGTGATACAGAATGAGTGGTGATGTGCATGGTTTAACTCCTCTCAAGCTCAGTGGAGGAAAATTAATTGAACCTTCAGTGAGGTCTCCTGCAGACGGAGAGGAAAATAAGCTCCATACAACACCGAGCGAGGTGCACGGAAAAAGCACCCTCAGAAATAATGATGAAGATGTTGGATCAGTGTGTGCTGAACAGCGGACTTTGTCAAAAAGCATTAATGTCTCTAAAGGTAGTAAATGTAAAACTGTCGAATTTCAAAAGGATCTCAAAGAAGGGGGTTATGAAACCCTTTCTCCAAGGTTTAGGTGTAGCTCTCACGAAATGGATGATCGACGTGAAGAGTACGTTTCACTTAGTGCTGATGTTACACCACCATTTTCAAGAAGTGGAACCCCAAGTTACTTGAAGTGGGCTGAAGGTCTTCAGTATCTCTTGCAGGATCTGGAAGGGGTGAATCTCTTTAAAATATATCTAACTCAGGATAAATGTGCAGAGAGCTTGGACTTCTGGTTTGCCTGTGAAGGTCTTAAGAAAGCTAGTGCAACCGATGTAAACTACATTCAACAAGTGATTAAGTTAATATATAAAAAATTCATAAGATCTAGACTCATAGAAATTAAACCTGAAACTAGAGATGAAATAGCTAGTAAAATTGAAAGTAAAATGGGACTTGATCAAACAATCTTTGATGATGCTCAAAAAAACATTGAAGATATCATGACAAGGACGACATATCCAAATTTTCTTAAATCTGAGGTGTATCTTCATCATGTTCAGTTTATGCAGCAAAACGTTCATCTGGGATCACCTAAACAAGCAGAAGGTTCAGAATCTGTCAGTGAAAACAGCAGCAGTAATAATTCCAGGCAAGGATTAGATATCTTACCTACGTTGCATGAAGACGCTGAAATGAATGACAATCCAGGTAAAGAGGCAATACCTTTTACCAGGGAAGTGTTGAAGCAACGATCGAGAATAATGGGAAATGTTCTTCATTATCGACCAGAAGTGCAGGCTGGGTATGTTGTTTTCTAGCTTGACATTTGTTGATAAACTCTGCAATAAATTACCTTGTGTTTACATGTATTAAATCATTATATTGATTTTTTCATTCACGATATATTTTTGAGAAAAAAAAGTAATTTATGTAACATGTAATTAAATAGGCACACTATAAAATGTTTTTTTTTTTTTTTGTTCAATTATATTTTGCAAAGGTATTTTTCTAAGGGGTCATAAGGGAAAAACTTAGCCCTATCGGTATCTGTCCCCCTCCTATTAAACTGATTCTTAACCTGAATCAAATCTAGGTACCATGTCAAACCTGAATAAAACTTGGGTTCCACCCCAAACCTGAATAAAAACTGGTCACCTTTCCAAACCTGAATAAAAACTGGATATAATTTAAGTCCTGAATAAAAACTGGACACCTTTACATACATAAATAAAAACTGGTTACTACCCTAAACCTAAATATTTTTGATTCTGTCTTGGATCTGTGTTGCACTTGGATCACATGGTCATATAAATTGAGTTAATTATCTTATCCAAATGCAGAACATGGAGATAAGTTATAAAATGCAAATTAAAGCCAAGTTCAGGTTTTTGGTGCAAATCTTGATATTAATGATTTTTCTTTACAGAGGATACAGCTGATGATTTAATTCTTGGCTTTAGTATACATAAATTATAAAATAACAGTATTTCTCATTCATGCTATAACGTCAAAGGTGAAAGTGTATTTCTTGTTCTTACAGGTTGGCTTGGCTAACTTTTTATTGTTTTCTTATTGAACATTTGATAGTTGAAAATTTAAGTTTTGTTTAGGTTTTTGCCATAAAGCCCAAATTAACAAATGTGTTCATAATTTATAAAGCTTAAAGTGTATCCCTGGCTCTTGTTGTACAACTGTCTAGGGTATCAGTTTTTTTGAATTTTATAAGATGAAAGGTAAATGTTAACTCAGATTCCCTATCCATTATAACTTGATTGGACAGAAGTTCAATGATAAATTTTGAATTTGGGTTTTTATAAGCTTTGTCACAAGTTTGAACCTGGGAAGCTATAGCTGTTAAATAGGTTTAACAACTGTCACTCTTTCTTTTAACAGGCACTACCTACATGGACCAAGTCGAGTTCCTAAACCTTACCACATGAAGTACTCAACTGTTATCCCAACCTCTGTCCAAGATAGTGAACTTCAAAGCCTTTCGTCAGATGCACAGACTGATGATACTATGTCCTTGACAGATAGCAGCAGTGTGTAAGTAGAATTCCCTATATACATGTATACAAATCTCTTGAGCATTAACAATTCACTATAAAATCCTTGTAAGAGGGATGGTTTCCTTCAGGCCATAACTGCTTGCAGCATAAAATAGTTTTCAGGAGCCAAAGGTTGCCATGTTAAGAAACTCTCAAGTTCATGACTGTTATCTAACTCTTGCCTTATTTAGTTGAACAAGCTACCGCTAAGATACTGTACATGCCTGCCAGATGATGTAATAACAAGAATGACAAAAGCCTATTGTTCTTAATGTTCCGAGTCTCTTCTAGACCTTATATACTATGCTTGTAAGTTGTTTAGTGGTGATGAAAAATAGTAGCTTAGAATTTTAGCCAAGAACCCATGTGTAAAACAAATAATTTCTTGTTCTGATTCTCATATCTTTAAAACATTAATTAGTGAGTTTTTTGAGTTTCTCCTAAAATCTGCCATTTCTGTTGTAAGTTTGAGATTATTTTACTTAAAAAACTCACAATATATTTAACTCATACCCAGTTTTAAGTCATCGCCTTGTGCTGTAAATTATGACGGGTGGGTTAAACATAAAAACATTTAACCCGAAAGATAAAACTTTTGTTAACCCTACATTTAACTGTTTGATGTATTTAGTTCCTAAAAAAGACACTCTTAGTCTTTTTCACGTAACAGCATGGCTGTAGGAAGCATTGTCATTTCTAGGGGGAGCTCTGGGGGCATGTCCCTCAGAAAATTTTTGAAACTTTAATGCTATGAGATTCAATCTTAAGCCATTTTAACTACAAATACTGCTTACACACAGCGTAATGTATTGATTTAAAAGAAGCAAGTTTTAATGGTTCTACAACATTTTACTGCCTCAGTAAATGACTACCGTTGCATTTTATTGCCGTCAAGAGCTGCAGCAATTAATTATTTCATTTTAAAGTTTTCTGCATGTATAAATATTATATTATTGGAATAAAAGCATCCATTATCATGTCAAAAAAAACTTGAACATGAAAATTACGTCATAAAATTTGTACCCGTGAAAACATAAATAATAGTGTACGTATTTGCTCTATTGTGATAGCCTTTTTTTTTTTTCCCAGCAAATTATTCGGTTACTTTATTATTCTGTTTTTTTTCAATCAACTTATTCAATTTTATTTTTAATCAATTTTATTTAGAATAAAGTCGTTCGCTATGCTAGGAAATGTTTTGTTTTGAGGACATAATTATTTACCGGCAATAAGATGCACCAGCAGTCATTTACAACGGCGGTATATTCTTTTGATGATGTCATTTTAACGTTTTATATATTTCTTTTTGTCAGTGATTGTGGACCTACTTTACCTTCAAGAAGTCAACTAAAGAGACATCAGCAAGCAATGAAGAAAAATGCCAGTTTAAACAGGGATTATCTAGCCCACCAAACCATAATACCTGTATGTTTTTTTTTAATATTGAAATTGCCATTATATGTCTTTTAAAGTGAGCACACACAACAATACATATAGCAGAAAATACCATCAGATGAAACTTTTTTTATTTCCAATTTCTAACCATAGAATATATACTCATTTCACTAAGGAATGTTTTCCAATGCAAAATATGTAATTACAACAAATATTTTTTGTATATTTTCTTTAGTTAGTTAATCACTATAAATTCAATAATGTATGGTTTATAGCTATTTGTTAGATCACCTATATGAAACCTTTTCAAGTAAAAAATTTATATTAGTAAATTTATTAACCCTAAACTGACCTCATTGTCTTTTTTTAAACATATTTTTCACAACTCTTAAAATAACTATGCCCCACATAGCTTGTGGGCTCACAACTGTGTTTGTTAGGGTACCCAATAACAAAAAAATTTAAACAAAAATACTATCTATATTGCATTCAAGACTATGTGCATTGGTGGAGGTCAAAGTATGCATGCCCGACCTTGTACAGAGTACCATTCAACACGTTTTTATGCAGTTGATGTCAGAGTTATCAACATTTCATGTTATCCTTCATTGCTGGTTTATCAACAGTTACGCTTAGAGTAGAGAAAATTTTGGATACAATATACAAGAATATTGAAAAAACATTTACGAGGTTATGCAAATAGTACAATGGACTAAAGTATTTCTCTTCCTCACACGAACATCACCTTGCGCTTTAACCTCTAAGAGTCTGAGTCAAACTGATGTTGGTATTTCATAGATATATCTTATTATGAAAACATTAGTGACACATGTGGATTGTTGTTTACAACAGACTCGTACAGTTGACTGAAAGCTTTTCACACTTTGTGAAGATATGCTCCATAAGTTCGAAATTTACAATCAACATTACCTTTCCAGTACAAGGTTGATCCAATGGACTGACCTTATGCACATTCAGTTATTTTCACAAATTAATGCTGGGGGTCCCCTTCAATACTTTACATAGAAAGTGATCATTCTAATAAACTTTTTGCTCAGTTCTTTACGCTCAATGTTGTAACAGGCAAAAACACAAAATTATTTAATTTAATATGATATATGAACCCCATCAGTAGCGAGTGGTATGAAAAAACAAATCAATAATCAGAGGGTTAAACTACACGAAAAGGAAATGCAGTTTTAGAATGAAAAATTCTGGGCCTGACTTTAGCTTTTGATGTTATGCCTGAATACTTATATAATTATGTAGTATTTATAAATAAGAAGTAGTTTTAATTTTATTGTTTTTACGTTTAGTAAAAAGGTCACCAAAATATTGTTTATCCTCAGCGAACTCAGCGACCACCAAAGGAATTTATCAAGCCCATGCAAGAAGAAGACTTTGCAGCACTTTTAACCCAAAAATTACTGCAAGTTAAGAAAGAAAGAGAGGCTCAGGAAAAGATCGAAGAGTCTATTCGAAAACTTGAGGTATTAGTCCTTCCAATACTGGAAGCATGGGCTTTTTTGTTCTTTGACTAAATTTCGTGATTTTATTAACAGTGGAGTTAGGTTGTATGTATATGTGGTAACTCATCTGAAAATTGCACAAAGCCTGTTTTTAATCTTTGGTTTTAAGTTTAACTTAAACTTGTATTTATAGTTTAATTCCCTGTGCTTGCACTTTTAACTTGAGTTAAGTGCTTTATTTAATTTATTGTGAATGAATTATCATCTCTAATTGTTTTGTTCATTGACTGACCGACATTACAAGTATTGAGATTTTTTTTCAAATTATATTTATAGATAGAAGAAGAAAAAACACATTCTTGTGATAATGCTTTCCAATCCTCAGTGGGTAGGTTTGCAGGTATTCCTTCACAACTTCTGACAGCAGCCATAAAAGAGAAGCAAGCAGTTACAGAGGAAAATGACCAGTCCATTTTGGACCAACATGTATCAAGAGTGTGGAATGATTCAGCACATCAGACTCCAGGTCAACTTTCTTCTTCACCAATACCTTTATCACCTCCGCTAGAAAGGCGAAGGTCTAGTGTACCAGGATCATCAGGGTTTATTCCACTGATGTCTATGAGGTTGTCTACTCCAGGTTTGAGCAGTGGAGGCCTCTATGTCAGCCCTTACCAATCTCTTCATACCCATCACCGCCCCAGAAGGGTATGTGGTATGAAAGTTCTAAATATTTACGAAAACTATCAGAATCGAGGCTCGATTCTTGAAAATCATTATTCACACTGATTGAAAGTTAGCAGTAACCAAAAGTAATGTAACATGTGGCACTTTTGGAATCATTTGCACAATATGTGATAATCATGATTTTCAGATAATTAGTAATAGTCAATAATTTATCTGCAAACAAAGGACCATAAATGAAACTGGTTTTTAATCATTTAAATATTTATATGTAATACTGTTGAAATAGTTTAATTACAATATTTTATTAATGCATGTTTAGGTAAATAGTGGTACAATCTAAATATGATGCAGTTGAAGTTGTGCTTTTGGTAACAGTACAGTCGGACTGACTTATAAGTTAAAAGTTTAGTTGATGTTATTTAATAAACAATAGCAGGTTTGTACGTTGCTAAAATTGTTGGCATTTGTCCATCTTAATTTTGTATGATGTGATATTGATGTTGCCATAGTGCAAATTGATCCAATCTCCACTGTGTTCATTTCTTTATTATTCTTACATTCGTCCCACTGGTGAACAGAAAGTACTCTGTTTATGGCACAATAAAAAATTGAGACTGAATGGCAAGTGTTTAATTTAAACCATGACACTTTTTATTGTGTAAAGACCTAAATTTGGTTTTTTTTCAAAGTCAAGTTCTAAATATTTCCAAATTCAAAAGTAAGTTTAGTAAATAAATAAATATATATATATAATACAGATTGTTCATAATCATTTGCCAGTAAGGATATATTTTACTTTAGAACTTCGAATTGATACTTCAGAATATTTACTTTTATAGGTCAGAGAAAAGAGAGTTTGGAGTATATTTTTGTTTTAAAGTGGAAAAGTGTGTAAAATATATTGATTATCTCATTTTCTGCTGTTAATGTAAACTCAGTTGTACGTAAAGTGTATTAAAATATTTTAATAAAATTAGGAGCCTTATTAGATGTTAAATATTTAAGCTGTTGTACAGAGTACATTTCAAATTTGATAAAGTGACCTGTCTGTTTTGTTTCTCCTTAAGTAGATTATAATCTTAATGATTTATAATTCTCTGAGAATTTCACAAGATGATATAAATTTCTGACATTTTGTATAACACTGGGGGTGACTTAAGAGTCTTAAAATATCTTAAACCACTGCAGTTTCATAGTAAAAGTAAGAATACTATAACGTCTTGCTGAATTTCTCAATTATCTGGACTTTCTTCAGAATTAGCTGTAGAAAGAAATTCTCTGTTATTGTTTTTATTCATTCTCATACTTTGTTATATGGATGGAACGTGACATTTTTTTTTGTCAACTAGGACCGGGATGCATGCTCGAGTGATAGTGGAACAGTTCATGATTTCACTCCTGAAAATGAACCCACTAACTTTCCTGCTTTTCCCTTACACATCCATAAACATGTACATCATCATCATCCAACAATGTCTAGAACGTCACCAGAACAATTCACCACGGCTCCCGTGGAGCACCAGCAGACCCGGAGGACAAAGGATACGTCTCGAAGATCAAGTAATAAAAAGTTATCAACCAATGACTCAAGCAGCAGTTGTATTGACAGTGGTGTTAGTGTAGCGTGTGATCCGATCCCACCTACCGTGGCTTCTAGTGAAAGGTAGCACTGTAATTTTAGCTCAACTGCACATAATCAATTTGTAATTATGATACTTGAAAGCTTAGTCATGAGATATCTTTATCACTAAAGCCATAAAGTTATACTCCAGTATTTCAAGACTGGTAAGAAAGGAAATAGAATTATATGACTTTTTAACCAATTGAATAATAAGATTTAGTACACAGAAGAAATGTTTTACCAACATGCTGATCTAATACAGTTTCATTAGTGGGTCTTTGTAAATATTTTTTGAAAACTAGCTAGAAGGTCTGAAAAGTTACAAATTGTTCTTTTTATATAGAACATTCTAATTTATAAATAAAACTATGTGTTCCTTAATACTTCAGTAGTTAGATTCTTGAAATAAACTCTCAAATTTTGCATTGAATAATTTTTATTTAAATAATTTTCTTCCAAATTAGTCACATTTAAATCAGAAATATGCTGGATTTTACTTCCTAATAGTAGAAAGCTAGAGACCGGTATTATACACCATGAGATATTAAACACAGGCTGATAGTAGTGTAACTTCTCGTTCTTAGGGTTTATCACTGGATGATGGACAATGAGAAATACACTTCTCATGGTCATGGTCCAGATTCAGAAAAAGATTCCTCCACGAAACATAAGAAATCAAATCGATCTTCGTTGTCTACAACTTCGCCAATACCCTGCCGACAAAGGTAAGAAGTAATTTTTTTAACAATTGTGTAATAGATATTAATTTTAGGATTTTTTTTCTACTTTTACGTCATTATTGGATGTAATTGTTTTTTAACATTTTTCCCATGTGTCTGTGAATTTTTATCTCCAGAAGAGAAGTACAAAATGTTTTCCTTACATAGTAGTCTGATCTAAATGTACATTTTATTATTTAGAAAGCAAAAATTAGTATAGAATTTAAAATATATATATATTTATATACATACATAAAACACTGGTGTTAGTAAAGAAAAAAAGAAATGTGGCCCCAAAATTTCAATAAGTGGATTTCTCTCACAAAATGTGTTTTTTCTTACATCTGTGACAGGGAAATTAATGCTACATTATTTTTTTCATAGCAACTCCAAAAAGTTACCAGCTTACAATATTCCACGTTCAAGCTCTGTAGAGCGAGGGGGGCCTCTTCCCTTGCATTTGCAAAGCAGTATTTCTTATTCCAAATCATCTAATCCACATGTTCCAACTTATCCTTTCCCCTGTGGGGTACAGCCTACTCAGCCCATTGCCCTAGATCCTTCAATGCCTATTCTTCCTCCACCTGATACAGCTACGCAGCTTCTAGAGGCAAAACGACGGCTGGAAGATGAGGCACGTTTAAAATCTGGTAAAACAAAGTAAGTTCTTAATTCAAGGCTTAAACGTTTTTTACATTATTTAAAAAAAGGATGTATAGAAAAGCATAACACCTTTCTTGGCTAACTGTTTATAAGTTATAATACAATATGAAGATAATTTTAATCTGGCTTAGCCATTGTACTAAAAGAGTCATATATATACATACACATAAATAATAAAGGATGTATAGAAAAGCATAACACCTTTCTTGGCTAACTGTTTATAAGTTATAATACAATATGAAGATAATTTTAATCTGGCTTAGCCATTGTACTAAAAGAGTCATATATATACATACGCATTTACAAATTAAAACATTTTTATTTTATAAAATGTTATTTCCTATTATATGGATAAATAATAGAAATGTTATCTGTTTTGAAGATTGAACGTATAACTGATTTTTGATACTTAAGTGGGGTTAAAATTAATCAAGCTGGTTTCGCTTAGTATGTCACAAGAGAGTCCAACATTTAGAGCAGTTCAATAACAATGTACCCAACCATTTCAATTCTGACATTTTATTAACAATATAATTTAACTTGTCTAACCATTTTGATATTGGTGTTTTTGTAAGCAGAACCAATTCTTCAAGGGATAAACAAGGTCACCAGGATTCTGGTCGAGGCAAGTTTCCTGTCAAGAACTTTGACATTACAGAAGACTCTGCCATCCCCAGGTACAACAATATTTATAGGCATCCTTTTGTCATCCGTATTTTAAACTATTTTAGTTGAAACAAAGGTTAAAAGAATAATAGTAGTAGTAGTAATAGTTATTGTAACATTATTAGTATTATTGAATTTTCTTTAATCTTTATTTACCCAACTATATAAAATCCTATTATTAATCTATCTGAAATTAGTTGAATATTGGTATATGCGAGTTAAGATTAACTAGATTAACATGTAGCTTATCATCAATACAAACTTATAGATTTGAAGAATGAAGTACAATGGTTCATTCAGTAATATCGGCCAGAAAACTTTTACTGGTTATTATTTTTGTTAAACATGGAGAGAGGGTTCATATAGAAAACCTAGACATTTAACGTACTATATTCAATGTTTATTATTTAACAATTTTGCCAAAGTAGCCTGAAAAGTTCAGTTTAGTTTAATTTAATATTTGCTTTGATACTGAATAGTAAAAAATGTATATTTTTAAAAATGAAGTGTACATCAAGTCACAATAACTATAATTAAATCAGGTTTTAGGTAACATGTTGTATGCAGAAAACATAAAGAATATTATAGGATTAGTTTAACACTGGTTTAATGATACTTCCTGCAATGATAAACCTAATTTACTGTTGATTTCAAAATGTTAATCAAAATGTAAGCTGATCACAAATATACTCAAAAATTGTGTAACCCACCTAACTTTTAAAGCTTCATCATGTTAAATTGCAGTAATCCTTAACATGAATGGGTGGTAACAGTAATAAAATAACATTGCAATGCAGTACAAGGTAGTTGTGTCTTGTTGGCAGTGGCACTTATTGCATGCAAGCTGTGGTCTCATTTCTTCGTCATTGCCAAATTGCTTTGGTACCTTTCTAAAGCAGCTTAAGGTTTCTGTTTTATTACCTTTTGTATAATATAAAAAGTAGCATAATATCGTAGAAAGTAAGCATCAATATTTTATTTGCATTTCTTATTGTTTTGCTACAGTAAATAAACATCCCAAGCTTAATTTTTCATAGGTCTGGTCCATGAGTGTCAATTTGCTTAAAGCTTTGCAAATTTTGTTTTTAGTGCACTAAAACAACTTTTTATTTGAGATAAAAAGGAATCAAGGGCATGAGAAACTGAGTGTGTGTGTGTGGGGGGGTTTCTAACACAGTCATTAAGGATGTATACAATGTACATAATACAAACCTTTTAGGTTTTATGAAGTTTGGCACCTCAATTTTTCAAAGTTGTACTCATGTTTGTGAATAAAGTTGCAAAGACAGATTATCTACTAAGTTTTACATTATTGTTTTTTTTTATTTAGCTCACGGAAGTCCAGCAAGAAAACCTCGCCACCTACTCATCATCCTGGTTCTCTACCCACGACTCCCAGTGATGTCACTGTTATTGGCTATTGTTTCTCTGGAGAATCTGTGCCTTACAGGACTAAACTTTTAGGAAAAAATATTACCCTCAAACAGTTTAAAACTCTTCTTAGCAAAAAAGGAAATTACAGGTACTACTAGTTTTCATACAAACATTTAACTACAAAAAATACAAAAAACTTTAGGTTAAAAGATTAGCTCTTTCTATTATTTAGTTTTTAATTAGGTAGTTTATTATTATATATTGTTTGTTGAGCTGAAATATAGTCTTCAAAACTTTTATATGAACATAGAATTAAAATATACCGAACTCATTAGTACCTACAAGATAAATTATTTAAGAAATGCTTCGTTTTTCACAGCCCTTTCAATAAAGTTCGGACTTATAGCATGATTATTGGAATTAAAAATGACCTCTGGGTAAGATGATCAAGTTTTCTGGTTTTAACTTGAAAAGTGATTTTGATAGTTCAAGTTGACTACGGGTGTAAGTTAAGGTGACCACAATTTATTAACCAAAACCAGGGGTACTAGTGTGTAGAAATTTTATATCAGTGGTCCCATAATTCCAGGTGCAGGCAGTACTGGAGAAGTTTACTGTACTTCTGAGTTTATACGTTTTAGGGTTTAATTTTTTAAAACAGAACAGGAAAATAGTCTATTACATATCCGTTTTGCACATAACGATGCTATACCTAAATTAATAAATAATACAAACAGCAAGTTCACTGAATGTTTATTTCTGATATATATTTTTGCTGCAGAATTCATTTTAAGTGTAAGAAATAAACTGCAGTGGTATTGCTGGGAAATAGTTTTGAAACGGGGACATTTTCAGGAATAATAATCTCCCAGGTATAACATTCCTTATATAGGGTTTATCCCTGTATGTCAGGGATATATAGTCACCATAATGTAAGTGGTCATTTAGAAGTATGAACAACTGCAAACTAATATTTTTTTGTTGCTAAAACGAAACTAATGTTGTTTTTTAAACTTACCTTTGTTTAGATACCTAATTTTTTGTAGTTCTTTACGTACATGTACACGACTTATATTCTTTGTCTGAACACAAATATTATTAATTTTTCTATAAAATTCAAATCAACAATGCGAGAAAAACAGTTATAATCAGTCGAAAGCAGTGGTTCTCGATCAACCTTTTTGGCTCGGAGTCCACTTGTAAACATCAACGGCCAGTTGCGACCCTGCGTAAAGAGCTTTAGTGTCTAACTAACTAAATAACTGAGTAAGCTGTTTTCAAAGTCTGTTAATGATCCTTTCGCACATTAATTCTGAAGATCCAATTTTGGGTTGTGAATCATAGATTGAAAACACTGATCTGAAGGATCATAAAAATTATGAGGAGTGTTGACACACATTAGTTTTTTTTAATCAACTAAAAGTTTTATTTTTCAGTAATCATAGGTTTCTCATCAGAAATGAACACAATGTGTACATGTCTCAATAAAGTGTTGAGAGAAATAGTATATCTGAATAAAACTTAGATTTTTGCAGACAGAATGTCAACATGATAACTCGTAGCCATTGTTTTTGAAACGTACATCTGATTAAAAATTATGTTCAATTAATCAAAGGAAGAAGCGTGAAATATTTCTTGACTACTAACATCATTTTTGACATCAGTAACCTTTTTTTTTCTCTACAGGTACTTCTTTAAGAAAGAATGCAATGAATTTGGAACTGGAGTAGTAAATGAGGAAATATCAGACGACAGTGAAGTGTTACCTCTTTGGGAAGGAAAGATCTTTGGTACCATTAAATCAGTAGACTGAAGAGGAATTTATTTTGTGTTTTGTGTGTGTGTTGCAAAAATATTCCATTTTCAGTACTTGAAGTCCTGTTCTGTAAATATTTTTTAATTTTATAGAAAAAAAAAGTCTGACTTTCACTGTTACTTCCTTGAGAGAAAAACATTAAAGACAAATTATTTATTATTCTGATTTTTTTTATCATAGTGAACTAAAGTTATCTTCTTTCAAGACATCAGTGATCTCTAACTCATGAAAGATATGCATGTAAACAGAATAAAGATATTTTATCTTTCTCTCTCTTTTTTCCATATCCTGAGGACTCTGTTGTAAAAATTTACATATATATATATATATAAATATCCATAATTTTATTGTCTAAACTTTGTAAAAGGCTCGATTGCTTTAACATGTATCAAACTTGTGAAAATAATACTCCTACATATATATATACATGTGTCTATAAATAAAAGTTTGAAATCTGGGTGTATAATCAAGTATATATTGAATGATTTTTGTTTGTTTTTAAAAGTTTCTGTAGTTACTGCATTTTTAAGTTTTATGTATTTATTTGATATCAAGTTTTGGTAGTTAGTTTCATATCATATTGTCAGAAAATTCCATTGTAGACAGTTCAGTTGATTATATGGCTAACATTTGTGCCTAGCTTAGTTTGTTTACTATTAAACGATCTACCAAGTAGTAAAGAATCACCCCCCCCCCCCTGTTTTATTTTATTTTTTAAAGATGTATGTAACTTTTCTTAGGAAGTTTTTCATTAATGAAGTACAAATCCTGCAAGTTCTTTAATTGATTCAGAGTAAATTTTCAAGTTTTTTAGAGAAATATTTTAAACCATAAATGTTTACCGTTGTTTATTTTCTTGTTATTCTGTTTTTGAATATTTAATTTTGCTTCCACTTTATAACAGCTGTAAAGCTACAAATAAAACAAAAATTAGCAATGATTTTTGTACTTCCAGTACTAATTATATCAATTCCTACATTACTGATCAAATTCCTAAGGTGGAAATTAGTTCATATTTTGTTTAAGAATTGAATCCTTCAATTATTACAATGTTCCTGTGTTTGGTCATGTAAGAGTGTATCTTAAATGTGGTTGCTTTGAAATACTATAAAAACTGTAAAGCATCAAGATTTAGTGTAATTCTTAAGTACTGGTAGATCAGCAGATCATTTTTTTTTCATCAATCTAGAAAAATTTCAGATAAATGTATTGCTTGGAAAATTTTCTATTTTATTTTTACTTTCGGAGTTAGTATTAAAAAAAATTGCTGCTAAAAATAGGTCTTGTGATATTCACAGTTGATTTTTTTTATCAGAGTCTTTGGTTTCTGTTGTCACGGTGATTATAGGAGTATACAAGTACCTGAAGGTAAAGGAACTACAATAAAAAAAATTGTTCAAATAAGCTCAGGAATACAATATCCACGTAACAGGGTTTTCTGTCTAATTACTAGATCAAAGAAATGTTGAGAGTAAGGTATGTAATATATTTTACAATATGTTAAGAATTGGCCCCATTTTTGGTACTGTATCATTCTGCAGGATATGCAAATAAATGAACACGTCATCATGCTTTTTGTAAACATTAAAATAGACATTTACTCCGTGCAAGTTGCTGGGTAGTTGTCTTCGATATTTTTATCTTGCCGAAGCTTTTTATGTTATTTGTAACGTGGTGCCAAAAATGAAGCTCATTTAAAGATATTTAGTTAAATAGCAGTGGTATATTTTGTTTTGGTTTTAGAGACTTTCAGGTATTCACTTAGTTATAATACAGGTATTTTTTCATACTTTTTATTGATCTACCAGTACTTTTGAGGAGTGAAACAAGTATTTTTAAAGTATGTACTTTCATACATTTTTGTTTAACTTCTTGAGGAACTGTGGTTTATATTATACATTTTATGTAAGCCGAGATATCTAGATCAGTTCTTGCTTTCATAACGGAGCTACCACTTAGCTCATAGTGATAAATATACATTAAATGCATTTGAAGAAGTACCAACATTTTTTCAGGCATATAAAGTTAACTTCAATTTTTACCCCATCTCCAAAGTTTTGTTTTGAAGAATTATTTATCAAACACTTGCCAAAATAAAATAAAGTTCAAATAGTAAGCTGTCAAGTTAACAAGAAGTGTTATTATGTATGGAATTAGCAATGCTTTATGTTAATTATAAGTAAAATGCTGATGTCTAAATCTTAACAATTTATTATTATTATACAGGGTTGCCCAAAATTATCTTTCCCATTTTAAAATTTAATAATTAACTAACTAAGGAAATACAACCATGCAGTTTTCAGCATCTTGTAGCCAAACTCAAACAGTTTTTACTGACATGTCATTAGACTTCTCCGTGTGCACCATTAGTGGTTCTTAGCATGTTTAAATGATATTCGATTTCAGTCCATGTTTGCTCCTACATATCCACAGCTATGGTGGCGATGGTGTTAGTTATCTTGGTCTTTAGCTTTGTGATGTTTACTATAGGTGTGTGATATCCTTAACATACCCCCATACTTCTTTCCTGTACTAATGTCTGAAATTATATTTCATCAAAGTCACTGACTTGATCTCTGCAAGACAAACAATGTATTGAGCTTTTTCTTGTACGGTTGCCGCTTTTTGGGGGAACAGGACTCAATGGAGTGAAATGGTTGAATTTCCTTAGTTATTAAGTTTTAAAATAGGATAGGTAATTTTGGGCCATCTTGTATATCAGAGTTTTACAATCATATGTAATGAAATGGGAATATGGCAGCTGTTTTGTAAATAGGCATTGTGATGTATTTCTTAAAATTTGTAATCATGTAAAAAAAATTAGTGTCTGTTTATCAAAAACTGTCTTTTGTAGATAAAAGTAGATGCTGTGCAAATTTAGCCTTACTGTAAATATAGGGGTCAGATGTGTCTAGAAATATATGCAACTTGGTTTCTTCCAAGGTATTGATTTTCTCAAAGCTAGAGTGGTGTTGTTTAGATTATATTTTTTAATACAACAAATTAAGTAATTATCGTGCTTCAACTTGTAAATAAATAAACCATTAATTTGTTGTTTCTTAATATAAAAGTCTTGGCATGGTTGGATAATTGTTTTGTACAGCCTTGTGATGACAACAATCCTTACACACAACATAAAATGCATTGATTAGTTGTGTTGTAAAGTCTTGTAATGATGATGATGATGTTTAACATCAACAGAATGTACAGGGTTGTTTTGTATAAATCTTGTAATGACAGTGATGTTTAAACATCAATACAAAGTGCATGGTTGTTTTGTAGAGTCTCATGATGGCAATGAAGTTTACACATTAATACAAGGTGCATGGTTGTTTTGTAGGGTGTCGTGATGGCAATGAAGTTTACACATCAGTACAAGGTTGTTTTGTAGGGTGTTGTGATGGCAATGAAGTTTACACGTCAATACAAGGTGTGTGGTTGTTTTGTAGAGTGTCGTGATGGCAATGAAGTTTACACATCAATACAAGGTGCATGGTTGTTTTGTAGGGTGTCGTGATGGCAATGAAGTTTACACATTAATACAAAGTGCATGGTTGTTTTATAGGGTGTCGTGATGGCAATGAAGTTTACACATTAATACAAGGTGCATGGTTGTTTTATAGGGTGTCGTGATGGCAATGAAGTTTACACATCAGTACAAGGTGCATGGTTGTTTTGTAGGGTGTTGTGATGGCAATGAAGTTTACACATCAGTACAAGGTGCATGGTTG